AGAAAGAGTAGAACAAAGAGTTCTATCTGTAACTGACTGTAAACAATCAACTGAGATAACTCACTATCTTTGGACCAGATGATATTTTTGGTGAAGAACTGAAGGAGGTAAGATAGCCAGTCGTGCATAAATATGGGAAAAGAGCATTTCAGGCAAAGGGAACAAGTACAAAGGTCTTGAAGCAGAGAAGTGCCTGGAATGTTTCAAAATAACAGTAAGGAGACTAGTATGGCTGGAGTGAAATTAACAGGCAGGAGAGGATGGAGGAGGTTTGGAAAGCAGAGAGGTGCTCAGAAATGTACTTAGAGGCTGGATGGGCCTTGCAGGCCATCATAAGAAATTTAGCCTTTACCCAGAGTGAGTTTGGGAAGCCATTGGAGAGTTTTGAGCAAAGAAGTGACTTATTTTAAAAGAATGAATTTGGCTATTGCAAATAGACTGAAGATGGGTAAGGTTGGAACTGAGGAGCTCAGTTTTTAAGACATGAGGTTTGAGATGTCTATAAAACATCTAAGTGAAAAGACTAAGCAGACAGTTGAATTATGGATCCAATGTGTAGGGGAAAGATTTGAGCCAGAGATAAAATATGAGAATCAAACACCAATACATGGTATTTAAAACTATGACTCTGAATGTGTTCACCTAGGAAGAAAGTATAAATGGAAAAGGGAAAAGGGTTCAAGGATCAGTTTCTGGGGCTCTCCAGTGGTAATTTCTATAGTCATTGAAATTATAATGCATGTTGAAAATGGTCCCCCAGTTCTTATTGTCATGCATTTGCATATCTTATATTTAGAAAGCTGTGAGTCAGTTCCATTATTCTTGGGTTTTCATTTGATGGGTATGGAATTCTTTCATCTTACTTCCCATTTCTCTTTTATGAATATGCCAGGAAGCAAGAGTTTTCCAGGATCACATAGTAAATCAAGCATGGATTAAAAACCAGAAACTAGGTCTCTCCTAACTCCCAGTCTAAGGCAATAAGCATCTTCATTCAGAATTTGTTTAGAAGGGCTTGACACCTGTTCATGTGAAGGGAAAAAAGAGAAAAGGAGGCAACAGTGCATGTGATGCAGCTGCTAAGGAAGCAAACAATCTTAGGTTTCATTTTAAAAGCAGAGTTTATGGGAATAACACTTCTTGTAGATTAGTTCAGGCCATCTAGAGTATTATGTTGATAGGCGTAATATTCTTAAAAGGTCACTTTAATCTAGAAAATATCCAGATGACAGTAACCAGGACAGTGAGATATCCCAAAATCAGGCAACCAAAAATGGTAATTTTTATTTATAAGTAAAATCTTTAAGTTCCAAGGAATATATAAGAGCTTATTGGGAGATAAACAACTATATAAAGCAGGGAGCACTCTATCATCTAAAATGCTACCAAAGAGGCCAGCATTCAGTGGGAAGTTGAATTAGATCTTTAAGTTCTTTTTCATCTGCAGGATGTTTTACTCTCTGCTTCTGAACTTAATATCCTTAAATAGATACATTAGGTTGACAATTTTTGACTTATAAAAATGGCAATTTCATATATTTTAATCTAAAAGGTCCAAGTTTACCAGGATGACACCAGTCAATATCACTCACCAAGGAGTTATGGCTTAGAAACCAAGGGCATCAACTACACTCTTCTAGGTAAATAGATATTTTTAAAGTACCCTCCCTGCATATGGGGGTTGAGTGGGAAGGCAGACGTTGGTTTCCTCTGCAAAAACACAGTTGGAGATGTGGATCTAGTGTGTAGGGGCGAGACTGAGCTGAAGTTAACATTTGATATTATTATTCAGCATCACTCTTTAGATAACGAGCACAAACCCACAGCCTAAAATGCTACATTCCACTTTATAATTCACACTTTCACAATTATTATGGTTTTCAGAGTTATATTAACCAGTTAATGAATTTTCAGCACTGCTATTTCAGCAGAATAGGATAGGTACAAGAGTCTATATCTTTAGATAAAAATCCATAGGAATTTATGTCATACACTTTACATCATTCACAATAACTATAGGGGAAAAGTAATATAAGAAATATAAAAAGTGTGTAAATAATCTATCCAACCTAAAAGTTATAGCTTCCCAAGCAATCTTTCTTCAGCTTTACATAATACAATTTTCCTATTTGTGTGAAGAACAAATAAAATTTCAGGTCATGATAAAAATTTTCTAATGAATATTACTATTCATAATGTGAAGAGGTAACTAGGGCAAACACTCCACTCCCTACCACATTCCAACACAAGAGCAAAATAAGATAGCTCCATATAAGATCAGACTCATATCATACTGGATACCGTTGCACAAATGGCTAATGCCTTCAAGGGGTTGTCCACTGTAATATCTCATCTGGCATTAAGAGCACATGTATTTGAATTAATGCCATTGCAAAGGAAGGAAAGAAGGAGTAACAAACAATACAATGTCACAGCTTAAGAGAGAAGGCAAAGAGCCCACTTAGTTGAACTAGCTACAATGTCTTCATTGCTTCTTGAAGCAATTGAGATTTCCCTGTTAATTTGCAAGTACCAGATGCAGGAATGAGGAACTTTTTTTTTTTTATCTTTAAAGGATGGAAAGAACACAAGTCTTTACATGTATTGTTCAGTGAAGGTCAGTGAACTACATACTCCCACCCTTCTGAGTAGATCAAAGAACTCAATTTCTATAATCACTTCTTCTGCCTCTACTGGAAGAGGAGGCCTCTATTATGTTCCACTCTGAATTCCAAAGAGAAATCCAAAGATTCATCAAGAATTTTGTTCTAAATTTTCATTCAAAGTATTTATTCAAAGCATAGGCTAAATCATGCTTAATTAGTCTTAGATAGACAGGAGGGTCTTTTGATCATACTTATTAGCCTCAACAGGTGGGCCCATAGCAGCTCAGTACTCACCTGAGCTGTAGCTGTCAGTAGATGACTGAGAAATAGAACGGGACAGAGAGCGACGTCCAATTTTGGTGGGACGTTTGTTGAATTCTTGTTTCTGGTCAGCAAATTGGATCTGCTAAGAAAAAGAACCCTAGTTATATAAGGGAAAAAAACCCTCCATTTTGAGACAGCAACTCAAGGCTTGCATTATAGGCTCTTACCTTTCTTTGCAGTTGATATGATTGAACTAAAACCCTATTTGGAATGTTAAAACTCTTTTGAAGAGGAGAATGGGTTTTCATTCTTTGCCTACTATGTTTCTATCAAATTTAAATCTCTGATCCACTCTCTGACTATATGCTTTCTACAATAAAATTGTGACATCCCTCCCCTAAAATGGAAATGGAATGTTCTGGTTAAAATAAATTTTTAGAAAGTTGAGTCATATTCAGAAATACCTTCTACAATTTCACTGAAAATTAAAGCTGGAAACAATCTCTGAGACTATCCATATAGCTATAAGCTTCATATATCTAGATAAGAAAACTACAAGGTACAGAAAGGTAAAATGACTTGCACTCAAGTTTCAAGATTCTCAGGAAACAGTATATAATAACTTTTAAAAAGGCGAACGAACATTCTGGAATTGCATTCAAATTCTGGCTATGTCACTCATTATCTGTGTGATGCTGTCAAGATGCTTTTGTGAGCCTCATTTTCCCATAAATATAACAGAGATAAAAGTACTTACCTCATAGGTTTTAGGGAGGGTTCAATGAAACAATGTATGTAAACTGAAACATGGCAGGAGATTTAATAAATCCACTTCCCACCCCCAATCCCTCCAGTTCAGTATTTTTGTAACTCTTGCAGGTAGCCACTCTAATTTGTTAAAGACTTTCTAAAATGTATTAGTTGGCTTTCTAGTACTAGCAAGCATTAATTATTTTTTTTAATGTTTGGTATTATAAAATACCTAAAAGCCACAAGATTGATCATTTACTAACTGTAACAGATATAGAAGGAATGGATGATTTCACTGAATGTGCACAAATCTCAGATCATACTCTGGAAGCTGCATTTTGGACAATATCTGATAATGACTTTGGTATAATTTTATCTCTTTCCCCTGCTGTTGGAGGTTCCAGCTGGTACTTTATAATACTTTACAAATCAAAGCTTATATCATTTATTCAACTATTAATTTTTCTTTTTCTCTGAATGTTTGCATAATTGCTTATTCTTCTGGATTCAAGGTGGCACAAAGGAAGATCTATTGAAAAGGATAAAAGATCTGATGACTGATTCTACCTTTAATGATAAAAAGATGGTTCCTTGATGGGCACAACAGATACAGCAGACCAGGATCAAAGCAGCAACTGATGGCTACACTCCTGCAGTTAGAGGTAACTAAGGAGTCATTTGAGTATTGAGACAAGGGGACCAATGCCAAATGGAATTAGCTTAGCATTGCCTTGTAGGGGAATTCATAGCATTTTCATAGCTATAACAACAAATAAAGCCTGCATAGTGCTTTAGAATTCGCAAATTGTTTTTAGTAACAGGAAAATTCATTGGATTAGAGGCTCTTCACAAAATGAAAAATGATGAAACTATTTTGCTAAAGTAACAATTTATTTCAAAAGGATAAAGTGCCCTTTCTGTGTATTCCCATGGGATGCACATGAACTTTCATGTACTGTATTATTTCTAGCATAGCACCTATTACATGGAATATAACTGCCTACCTACCTGGATCCTCTATAAATTATAGGCTCCATGAAGGCAGGGGCTATATTATTCACCCTTACATCCTCAGGCACAAATGCCTGGCACGTCCCAGGCACTCAATCGTGTGCTGAATCAATGAATTTGAAGTAGCCTTCACTGTCTATATTTGGCTGAATATGCAGTAAATATAGTAAACATAAGACAAGTCTAAAGTTAAAAAATAATTTTTAAGAGCAAAAAAAGTTGGGAAGGAGAAGAGGGAGGGTGGGAAGCTGGGGAGGTAGACAGCAGTCAGGCTCAAAACTCTGGCTTCCACTTCATCGACCTTGTTCAAGACAGTCTCATGTCTTTATTCTTTTTTAGCAGTCTATCTAGGAAAAGAAGTAGTAATGGACTTTCTAAAGGCCACACTGAGTCACTAAGTTCGGCGGTGCCTTCTTTTCAAAAAGAATAACAGAAAAACCCTGCCTCAACACAACCCCCCCAACCACACACCTGCATACATGCACACATGCACACATGTGCATTTGTGTGCACATACACACACACTCACACCACTAGAGGGGGCCAGTCACTCTTATTCTCTAGATTTGCAGGATCAGGGTAAGTACCCAGGTATTTTTACCCCAGTAACACTAAACCATATAGATATCTAGTGGCATTATCATCTCAAACCAGTTTCTGTGAGCTGAGCTCTCTTCTCTGTAGTTGTTTCCATTTATAGTAACCCTCCTATCCAGAACAAGTTCAGGCTGTCTCGGCACTAAAGACTACTAGGCTGTGCAGACTTTCTCCATTTAGAACACGGGGTTCTAAAACCTTGGTTAGACACTAAAATCAAGTTTCTCTAAGACAGAAGGATATTAGAGAGAGACTAACCACTTACATATAAGTGAAATAATTTTCCCAAGAAATAAACGTCTTTCACTGATAACCAGAATACACGAGTTAAATGGGTCATTCCTGGTGCCCGCTTCCCCTCAATAATTAAATGCCATTATATCCTTCAATCAACAGTCCATTTTGTAATTGACTGATTTTGTAATCTACCTACCCCAGTTGTGGTACCTTGGTAGATTCAACCCCTAACTTTCCTACCTTGTCTGAAACCAAAGAGTCTTTCAAGGTAACCCTCCTTTTCCATTTCAGAGAGAACAGCCTAATTCTAACAGGCATCAAGGCAAGGGAGAAAAAGAGACTGTTAAGAGAGTGGTAGCTCACCTTGAGCCAGAGGGAGGGACGAAAGCAGGAAAAGAGGGAAAAAGAATATAAGCAGATGGCCTTTTACAATAGTGGCTATAGCGGCAGCAAGACTGGTAAATAAGAGTTTAGCCTCACCTGGGTTTTAATCCCAGAGTTGCCATTGACAATGTATTTCTTCCTGCTGCTCAGCATAGTGACATTATCAGCCCCACTGCCACCTCTGTGGCCCAGGGACCCTTGTGGCCAGGCCTTTAAACTTTCCTCATCAGCAATTCTGTTGGCTCTGGTTCCAGCTAGCTTTTTTGGGGGGAGGGGGGACTACTCTTCCTTGGACTCCCTGAAGCAGTTCCAACAACCCCTTCAGCAGCAGAGCCCCAATTTAATAAGGCATTTCCGTTAGTGGCTCATCAGCCATTCCTAATTCTGGTGGCTGTTTTGCTTTTATTTTTTTCCTAAACACCTAATTACATGGATCCTCTGACCTCTAAACCTTAACAAGTCCCTTGACAAGGCCCAACTTGCATGCGCATAACAATAGCGTATTTATATAACCAATGCACTTTTTTGCCTGCTATAATTAACTTGCTAATTAGGTTCCTTTTTAACCTTACCTCCTCCTTTTCCATGTCAGATGATTTTAGTTAACCTAGTCTCATTAGAAAAAAATTAACTACAGAGTCACTAAAACAATGAGGAACTTTATTAAGAGAGTAAAGAAAAAAAATTAATGGTGCCAAGTACTTGGGCAGCCCCTACCCTACACTGTGTCCTTGGATTAGCTAGACTGGGGACACTAGTTTCCGCTCTGTCACCAAGGAAATCAATTTTCTCAGCCAGTTACTTTACTTTTAATTGTGCTTTTTTTAATTTTTAAATTTTTTTTTTTTAGAGATGGGGTCTTGCTCTGTTGCCCATGGAGTGCAGTGGCATGATCACAGCTCACTGTAATCTCGAACTCCTGGGCTCAAGCGATCCTCCTGCTTCAGCCTCCCCCCATGCCTGGCTTGCTTGCTTATTTATTTATTTGGTACAGATGGGGTCTCACTATGTTGTCCAGGCTGCTCTCGAACTCCTGGGCTCACGGGATCCTCCTGCCTTGGCCTCCCAAAGTGCTAGGATTATAGGAGTGAGCCACGACACCTGGCCTAATTATGCATCTTTTATACAGGTTTTGACACTTGGTTTCTAGCCTCATCTCAAGATTGTTGCCGATTTGGCACTGGGTGACCCAGTTTGTTTTTTCCAAAAAATTTGTGTTCATGGAAGGTGTGACTACAAAGGGGAGTTTCTTACCTCTACAGAGTCCACAGAATCACAACAACCTAATAACATGCCAAATAAGGATTCAAACAAAAAGGCAAAGAATAACATTATTTATTTGCTGACTTCTGAAATGGACCCAATGAATAGGAAAGCTACTCTCAACTGTATGCTACAGAGATTGAGGGGGGAAGTGATTTGAATTTGTCCTTAAAAAAAAAAAAGATTGTTGAGCCCAGGAAAGAACATAGATTCTTTTTTAAAGATAATCTTTTATTTCTAGAGAAAAGGTCATATTGCATAGTGTTTACTGACTTCTCTGGAAGAGAAGGGGAGGAGAACTAATATTTATCACATGACTATATGCACAGCCCTCACAGCCCTGTGTATATGTCACTTCTATTAATCTGTACAAGAATCTTAAGAAGTAGGCATTATCTTCATTTGACAAAGCAGAAAAGTGTAGCTCTGAGAGAAAAAATAGTTTGCCCAAGATCTCACATCAAGTGAGTGATGGCACTGGAATTCGGGCCCGTGTTTATGTCAGAGCTGAAGCTCTCCACTATACCACACCTTATGATATTAATTGGAAGACCAGAGAACTCCCCTGGCCCTAATCCTAGGTGCACTAGCCCCAACTTAATCCTCTTACTTTATATTTAAGTTTACTTAACTTGAAATTACTGTTTAAATTTATTTTCTTATTAGATTGGGTCTCAGAAATGACATCATCCCAGATGATCTTGGGGCCCTGATCAAGCCATAATTCTGAAACACTTGATCATATGAGAGTTAGAACTCTAAAACCCCTTTAATTGGCAACTTTGCCCAACGCCACTACCAAAAATGGAAACAGATTAACTGAACTCAAATATTGGTGTTCACCATCACCCACGACAATCCTGTTCTCTTACTCATAATTTCACAACGTGAGACAGA